CTCTCTTGGGGCTGTTTTGCTTTTGCTGGCCTTTGGATTTTGAGTTTCCTTGTGTCGATTTCACCATCAGATTCATGGCCTTGTCAAACTCAGTGATATGTACCACCTATCAAGACACCATTGGGGTGTCTGCTATTGGCACTATTGGCACTTTCCCGGATAACTCTAACCTGCATGAAAATTGGTCTTAATCTTTTTTGTCATCAGCTCCAATGTTTAATAGGCACACAAAAACCAGCTAGGATTTCTTTGGCCATCTTGTGTGATGGAAAAATGAACAAACAAACCCCAACAACATAGTTAAAAACATCTCCCCACTTCCTTTTGAAAACTAGGAATATATCTAAGACCACACAGGAGATGGAAATTTAGGATATACCTATTTGGAATTGAATGAAGTCATCTACAGTTTAGCAAACATCAAGTCTTTTGGTTAGAAGTGCAAAACATTGGCTATGCTTTCCTGACTCTTCCCCTTTTCCTGGTTGTCTATTCATAATTCCCACTTCATAAGTACTTTACTAGAGTATCTAAAATTAATAACTCAAGCAATTAAAAGTAGTTTACTAAATTATTAAGCTGTTTGAGATCTTTCTTTTTTCCTATTGTAGGTAGGTGTTTATTGCTATAAACTTCCCTTTCAGAACTGAGTTTCTGCATTCCATGTTTTGGTAAGCATGGTTGGGTTTCCACTTCTGTTTGTTTTAAGACATTTTTTTATTTCCCTTTTCATTTCTTATTTGACCCATTTGTTGTTCAGGAATGTGTTGTTTAATTCCCACATATTTATGAAATTTCCAGTTTTCTCCTTGTTATTGATTTCTAGTTTCATATAATTGTGGCCAGAAAAGATACTTGGTATTCTTCCAGTCTTTTAAAATTTTCTCAGACTTGTTTTGTGTCCTAGCATATGATCTATCCTGGAGAATGTTCCGTGTGCACTTGAGAAGAATGTGTATTCTGCTGCTATTGGATGGAATGTTCACAGTATATTTGTTAGGTCCATTTGGTAGAAAGTATAGTTCAGGGGCACCTGGGTGGCTCAGTCGGTTAAGCATCTGCCTTCAACTCAGGTCATGATTCCAGGGTCCTGGGACTGTGCCCCACGTAGGGCTCCCTGCTCAGTGGGGAGCCTACTTCTCCCACTCTCTCTGCCACCATGCTCTCTCTCTCTATCTCAAATAAGCAAAATCTTGAAAAAAAAAAAGAAAGAATAATTCAAGTTCAATATTTCCTAATGGATTTTCTGTCTGGATGATCTAGCCATTGTCAAAGGTGGGACACTGGATATCCTCTACTATTATTGTATTGTTGCCTGTTTCTCCCTTCAGATTTGTTGGCATTTGCCTAATATTTTTAGGTGTTTCAGTGTTGGCTGCGTACATATTATGAATGTTACATCCTCTTGATAAATTGACCCTTTTATCATTATATTACTTTCTTTATCTCTTGTTACAGTTTTTTATTTAAAGTCTATTTTGTCAAGTGTAAGTACAGCTAACCCTAGCTACTTCTGCTCTCAAATGTTTCCATTTGCGTCCCTTTACTTTGAGCCTATGTGTGCTCTTAGAGCTGAAGTGAGTCTCTTATAGAGAGCATACAGTTGGGTCTGGTGGTTTTTATTTTATTTTTTTAATCCATTCAGCCATTCTATGCCTTTTGATTGGAGAATTTAATTCCTTTACATTTAAAGTAATTATTGATATGTAGGGACTTACTAATGGCATCTTGTTTTCTTGCTGTTTTATAGTTCATTGTTCCTTTCTTCCTCTCTTGCTGTATTCCTTTGTGAATCAATGATTTTCTGTAATGGTATACTTTGATTCCCTTTTCTTTATCCTTCATGTATCTACCGTAAGTGTTTGTTTTATGGTCACCAGAGGCTTAGGTAAAACGTAGATATAATAGTCTATTTTAAGCTAATAACTTTGGTCACATGCAAAAACTCTATCCTTTCAGTCCCCTGCCCATTTTATGGTTTTGATGCCACAATTTACATATTTTTATATTTTTTATCCATTAACAAATTATTGTAGCTATAGTTATTTTTAATAATTTTGACTTTTCACCTCTATTTTGGACTTAGGTAATTAATACACCATTATATCAGAGTGTTTGAATTTGACTATATATCCACCAGTTATTTTATATTTTCATGTGTTTTCATCTTACTAATTAGTGTCCTTTTATTTCAGCTTAAAGAACTCCTTTCAGTATTTCTTGGGAGGCAAGTCTCGTGCTGATTAACTTCCTCAGCTTTTGATCACTTGGGAAAGTCTTTATCTCTCCTTCATTTCTGAAGGACAATTTTGCTGGGTAAAGCATTCTTGGTTGGCAGTTATTTTCGTTCGTCCCTTTTCACATATCATCCCATTCTCTCCTGGCCTGCAAGGTTTCTGCTGAGAAAACTACTAATAGCCTACAAGGTTCCCTTGCATGTGAAGAATTTCTTTTTTTCTCTTGCTGCTTTTAAAATTCTCTCTTTGTCTTTGATTTTAGACAGTTTTATTATAATGTGTCTTGGAGAAGATTTCTTTGTATTGAATCTGTTTAGGGGTTTATGAGCTTCATAAACTTGGGTGTCTAAATTTTTCTCCAGATTTCTGGACTCAAACTTCCAAGATTCTGACTTAGTAGGTTTGAGGATGGCAATTGTCAGTTGTCTTTGCTGATTCCTCTTCCTCTCTCTGTCTTCTAAAGATTAGAATGTCCCCAGGCTCATGTTTTTTCTTTTCCAGCTATGCTCATTCCCTAGGTGATTTTATCTAGGCTTAGAGATTTAAACACCATGTCCACACCGATGATTTCTCTATTTCTATCTCCAGCCTGCTCCTTTCCCTGAACTCCAGATTAATGCATCAACCACCTATCCAATATCTCAAACTTAATATGTCTTGATTCCCTTCCAAACCTGTTTTTTTTTCCCCCATAGTCTTTCCCATCTCAGAAAATGTAGCTACATGCTTCCAGTAGCTCAGGTCAAATGCCTTTCTCTCTTACACCTCACATAATATCTGCCAGCAAATTCTCAACTTTCAAAATATATCCCAAATCTTATTATTCTTCGTCATGGCCACTTCTCTATCCTGGGCAAAGTCACTATCATATCTCTCCTGGATTATGGCAATCATATTTGATCAATCATAATTGATCTCTCTGCTGCTCCGTTCACCACCAGCCTTCTGACCTCCTCTCCCATTACCCTCTCCCTTATTCCCTCCACTCCTGCCATATCAGTTCCTAGCTCTTCCTGAAAACTACACCAAGTATGTCCCACCCAGGGCTTTCACACCAGCTGATCCCTCTGGTCGGAAGGCTCTCTCTTGAGATATTTGCACATCACATTCTCTCACTTCCTTTAAGTCTTTGCTTAAAAGTGATCTAGCAGAGGCAGTCCTGACCAACCCATATAGAATAGTGGTAACACTACAGCCTGACTTTATTTCTCTCCACAGTATTCATTCCCACCTGAGAGGTTTTACATTTTTATTTGTTTATTGTCTGGATTCTCCCATCAGAGTATAAGCTTTAGGAAAGAATGACTTTTTTATGCCATCACTGAATAGGCACTCAATGAATATTTGTAGAATGAATGAAAGAAAGAGAACTATATTTCCCAGCAATAATTTTCTAAGTGTCATATTTCCAATTAGAAATTTATTGCAGTCAGACACCATATCTTGCTCATTTCTGTGTCTTATACTGTTGTACCAGGCATCCAATAAGCATTGTTGAGTGAATGAATAATTGTAGTGTAGAGGAAATACCACAGACTTTAGAGAAAGGGAGCTAGGCTCAAATTCTGGCTTGGCCTTGGATTCATCATGTGACTTAAGCTAAGTTATTAAGTCTTCCTGAGTCATAACTTCTTCACAAAGAGATAAAATTTTGATTTTCACATGGTTATTCCAAGGGTTATATGAGATAACATATTTAAATTCATAATGTAGGGACTTCACCATATTAGGAACTCAATATATTGACGTTGATGTTCCTCATCCTGACCAATACTAACCAATCCTAACCTCTTCTTTCCTCTTCATTATATTTATTTTCCACTTCACAGATTCTTTAAAATCAATGGAAGGTACTAATCCAAGCTTTGGTAACTGAGCTCCTCACTGCTCCAGTTTCCTGCAGCCTAGATTAATAGAAATCCTAGATTTATCCCAAAGACTCAAGTAAAGAGAATAAATGACCACAATTCACACTTTGGAGGAGCTTAAAAAAAAAAAAAGCTAGAATATATTCAGAATCCACCTACTACCACCTCTACCTTTATCTCTCCCCTAGATTAATGCAACTGGTTTCCTTGTTTTTGCCACTGTGCTAACTCCACTCTAACTACAATGCGCTTCTTGCTGTTCCTGGAGCATATTATCATGCATAGTCCATCCCTAGGACCTTTGCACATGCTATTTCCTCTGAATGGAATGCTCTTTCCTAAAGTATTTGTAACATTCGCACTCTCACTTCAGATATTTGCTCAAAAACATCACCCTTACAAAAAGGTCTTCCTTGGACCCCTTTTTGTCAATTTCAGTGCTTCCATCCTAGGAAAACACATGACTTTTCCCTACTTTATTATTTTTTCCATAACATCATGTCATCGTTGGACAAACTATGTCACCCCAGATTAGAACATAAGCTCCATGAGGATGGGGATTTTTGCTTGTTTTGTTTTCCCCCTTACTCCCAGTGCCTGGCCCATAGTAGGTGATTAAAAAATGTTTCCTACATGAGTTGATGAATGAATAAATGAATGAAAAAGGGAAGAGAGGTGGATGGGAGTGGCCTGGGTGTCCAGGTGGGAATGTGAATTGGAAGGAAGAGGGGCAGATTTAGAATCCAACATCTGCTTTTGTGTCCTCAGGCTTGGCTGGCTCAGAGGTGGCTCAGCTCCTGTCACCTGGCCCACTGACAGCTGACACCATAACAAAGCAATGTTCTGGAATGAGTCAGGTTCTGGAATGCTAGAAGGCCTCCACATGTCAGGATGACCTTAAAAGAGGGGATCCATTGTCCATTGTTACAGATTCTCCCCAAGTGATTAACTCAAGGCCAAAGACCCTCTCTGGTATTGTCCCCAGCTCTCAAGGAACAGATATGAAAAATGGTGGGTTTCAAGAAACATCTCACTGGTAAAGCAGGGTTGACTTCTTTGTTTTCTGTCTTTCTGGATTATGCTTTGCTGGCTTGAAGGAGGCAATTGGCTGTGTAGGTTAAAAATGTTCCTTTAAGTGTCTACTATATGTCAGAGAGAGAAGAAAATAATTAATTAAGCAAAGTAGAACTTGGAAGGTGATTTGACTATAGTTAGTGATCAACTTTAACCTTAGTGTTTTCATTATGCTCAGGAAGCACACTTCTCTGGGTCACTTTGTCTTGTGGTGGCTCACTCCTCTTACCTAACCCCAACGGATATGGGCAGTTGGCTTACATCAGTATTGTTGGACTGCTTCCTTCCTTTGGAGAGTGGGCTGGACTCTGCTCTCAGAGGTGCCTCTGGGAGTGAGAAAGATGAATCAGATTGCAAGCAAAACCAGAGAGAGAGATGGGGTGGAGTTGGGGAAGAGTCAATTCCTAATTTAAACTGACTTTCCCTTACCCTGAAAGAAAGTCTTGTGTGGTTTTTTGGAGTGAGTAGCAGCTAAATCCCCCCTGAAATTTTAGGCCCCATTGGGCAGTCTCTCCCTCTCTGGGCCCAGCCTCTGCTAGAAACCTCCTTCTTGGCTCAGCTCTCATTGAATGGACACTAGGAACACTACCTCCCACTATTGATCCTCCAGCCCAAGGAGTGGTGGCATCTTCCTGCTTTTGCTTATCTTGGGGGAGTCTTGCCATTCTTTGTTTGGATTTTCAGCTATTCCATCATCTATGTAACCAGTTCTTTGTACTTTTATTTGAAAGATACAAAATGAGTTTTGTTTTCTTGACTGCACTCTTGCTGGTCTGCTCAGTTCAAACTCTTTTTAAATTTTGTAAAGAGAGGACTACTTGTCACATTGTTTTCGAGTTTTTAAAAAATGTAGAAAGCTGAAAATATTTACTTCGATCTATCTATCATCTATCTATCTATCTATCTATCTATCTATCTATCTATCTATATACTTTTACCATCATGTCTTTTTTAAAAATATTTTTATACCACTCAGTGGGTTTCCTGAATATGGGCACTGGGACATTGATTTTCTGTTGTAGGTTGAAAAACTGCTCTAGTAGTTTTGTGAATGGTTTTGTACTTAATTTCCCACTGTATCATCAAATGTCTGCTGCCAACCAGAGATACAGGTTTTTAAAATTGCATTTAACTTCTCTGAGCATCAATTTCTTCATTTATAGAAAAAGAAAGTTGTATTTGACGGGTCATTTAAAAACTTTAGCCTCAAAACTCATTTTTAAAGTATAATCTGAACCTGAACTTCAACATATAAAGTAGGAAATCCTAAGCTTACCTCCCTGACCTCAAGAAGACCTCACCTTGTCTCTTACAGCAGGCCTGAGTTACCACTACTCAACCCTGGAGTATAAAGTGATTGAATAAAGAGTGGTCAGATTCTGCTCTGACCACTTTTGATTTTATGCTTCCTGAAGGAGTCTAGTGATTTTATTTTTCAGTTTTAAAGCTAAGATATAAAAAAATGAACACTTTTAAGTCTGATTTTTACCTACCTTAGTTAATATACTTATCTCATCTTAATGAAAACATTTTTTAGCCCAATTTTACTTATCTTTGCTTATCTTACTCTGAAGGAGAAAAACCCATGTTTCCTTGGAAAAGCTAAGGTCTTGTTGGAAAAAAGTGCCAATAGAAAAGTCTCGAATTAAAAGAAATAAAATTAGATCTGCACTCCTAAGAGGATATTCAGATTTCCTAAATGCAATATCCCACAGACATAGTCAGGGCCTGCCTGACTCCCTAGCCCTCACACTCCTCCTCATGCTAAGATAACATCTTAGCCTTACTCTGCTCTCTCTTAGACTCTGGATAAATCCTATCCTGGGTGGGACTTTCAGGGGCTCTAGCTCAATACTCCCATGTCTTTTTTTTTTTTTAAGATTTTATTTATTTATTTGACAGAGAGAGACACAGTGAGAGCAGGAACACAAGCAGGGGGAGTGGGAGAGGGAGAAGCAGGCTTCCCGCGGAGCAGGGAGCCCGATGTGGGGCTCGATCCCAGGACCCTGGGATCATGACCTGAGCCGAAGGCAGACGCTTAACGACTGAGCCGCCCAGGTGCCCCAATACTCCTATGTCTTAAACTCAAGTCATTGTTGCTGGAACTCTGCCTTTGGCTTTGCTCCCAGTTTAGTATGTCCCAGACACCAAGCTCCCCTTAAGCTCAATATTGAAGAAAAATCCACCTGTTTCCCTGTGCCTGGTTTCCAGTCCTGATTACCTGCTGAGAGTCCCAGCCCCACCAGGGCTGCTTTCCAATTCCTCCCAGGACTGGGCACTGCTTCCTGCTCAAAGCCCTCTTTAATGCTGATTACTTTCAATCAGAATCTTAAAATATGTCCCATTTCAGGACATTGCTGTGCACCATACACCTGCCAGGGCACCCTGTTAGATCTTACTGACAAGGCCCCCTCATGGACTTCTTTCTTAAAGAAATCAGTTGTCTGTTATCCTTTTGGGTACCCTGAATATTCTGCCAGTCTGGGCTCCCTCTCAGTCCCCAAAGGTGATCTGTTTTTTCATTACCTTGCCTGGATCTCGATCCTATCCCATTATGGTCGCTATAGTTCTACCTCAGTTAAACTTTCCATGCCTAATCTGGGTCAGAAGCTAATACTGGTTACAGAAGACCTTTTGCCTATCACAAAATGCAAATCCTTTCTGGTTCCACATAATCTCTTTCCACATTATCATGCTTCTGTTGAGCACATAATTATTGAATGCTAGGTGCTAGAGTACATGGAGAATAATGAATAAGTGGCCTTTGGGAACTCATAATCTAGTGTGGAAGAGATTTTAAACAAATAATTTTAATGCATTATGATGATGATGTAAGTTGCTCTCAGAGCACAGAATAAAGAAGTACAAATACTGAGGGGTGACAATAGAGGTGGGGGAAGAGATAATTTCAGGGACCCTGGAGCTGAGCCTTTAAGGATTAATAGAAGCTCATCACTGGTGGATACCAGGGAGGAAAATCCAAGCAGAGACATCAAGCCATGTTTGAGGAAGGTTGAGTTAATGGGTATGCCTGTTGCACCAAAGAAATGAAGGTGAAAAGTTACAAGATGAAGGCCAAGGGGTTTAGGCTATATTGTTCAGCAACTGAAGCTAGAGGGGAGTCTGAAGTAGGAGATTATCACAATTGGATTTGCATTTTAGGAAGAATCTTTGGAGGAGGTATTGATTGGAAGGAGGTGAGACTGAAGGTAAGAAGACCAGTAGAGAGGCTTTAGTACAATAGTTGAAGCAAGAAATGATAAGAGCTTCAACTAAGACAGTATCAGTGAGATGGACTGGAGTGAAAGTGTTTATGAAGTAGAATAGACAGGATCGATGATCAGTTGGAAAGAGCGGTGGTGAAGAAGAGGGAGCTGCTGAGGTTAACTCTCAGAAACCTGGGAGCTATGGAGGGTAACTCTTGAGTTTGTACTTTGGGAGTTGGCTAAGAATGCAGATAGCTTTCCCTAAGATGGGGACAGCAAGGGGAGGTAATGTTGGACATGTTATGTGAGAAGTGTCTGGAGGATGCCAAGTAGAGATGTTCCACAGGCAGTCCACAGTCTGAAAATCACATCCGGCTCAAGGAAGACTTCTTGGTTTCAGATTAATTTGGAAACCATAAATATATACAGGATGACCATAAATTCTGAAAACATAGATAATAATATTTTGTCATGTATTATAATATAGTATCAATAAATCATTTCTTATGTATTCACCTATGCTTCCAGACTTTATGACCATCCTGTAGAAATTTGTTAGAGCCAGATAGAATATATAATGTAAGAAGAGAAAGGGATTAGACCTGGAGTCCTGGGAACAATATTTATGGGGCAAAGGAGACTGAGAAGAAACAGAGAGGAGGTGAGATTTAAAGCACTGGGAAAGCCCAAGAGGAGAGTGCTACTTCACTGAGATGGAAGGGAAAGTGGTGAGATGAGTAAGAATGTGCAGATGTCAGCCCAACTCACCATCAAACTCCTTTAAACAATTTCCCCCAGTGGCCAAAAGTATTACTTTCTCTAGAACAGTGGTTCTTAACTTTTATAGGGTAACGTGTTCTTTGAGAATCTGATGGAGGCCACGGACCCTCTTCCACTCATGAGTAGCAGGAATGGAATGCAGTGTAAGAGGGTTACAGATCTTCTGAAGCCCAACACCCAGGAATCTCACGTTAAGACTCCTGGTATTTTGTAAACCTGCTTTCAAATACTCACAGGGACGGTCTTAGTTTCCCTGCATTTTGGGGAAAAAGTGGTTTATTTCCTTCTGAGAAAGCAGAAGAAAAAGAATAAATGTTTTGCAGTAGCATTACATCATTAAGCTTATCAAAACCCAAATGATTTTTTTCTCCCATTAGAGGGAATGTTTTCTTTCTTTCTTTTATCCCTGTTATCTCTTTCTAAACAGCTTAAAATTTTTTCTTAGCTGAAATTGACGTTAGCTTTATTTGCATAGTTGTTGATTGTTGTTACCATAAATTGCTTCAGCTTATAAGTCTCAGCCACAGAGTTTTTCAGAAAATTTTAAAATCATATTCCTTCTAGAGAATTCATACTTTCAGCAGATATAATGCAGTTTCCTTAAATTGCTACTTTTCATTCGATACTGTGATCATATCTTCTTTTAAATATTCCTTCATTCCGGCTTCCTTGACACCTTGCCTTCCCTCTCTGTGTCTGTCCTCTTTGTAATTGTTTTTACATTTGTTTTTAATGTAATTAAACATTTAATTTACAATTTACAATAGTTTTTACATTCTCTCTGTTGACTTATTTGCACAGATGAGGGCATCTTTGAAGGCTCTGTTCTTAATTCCTTGCTTTTGTTTATTTTTTACCCACTCCTTTTCATTCAGTGAAAGAAATATTTATTGAGTGTGGACTATGTTTAGTGCACTTATTCTCATAATTGCAAAAATCCTCTCTTTCCGAAGATTTATGCTTCCCAATTGTGCCTCTAGCTCTGACATGATACAATGACATAATTCCCATGGCTGCCACCATGTCACTTTGAGGTCTCCCAGCTCTGCTTCCCCTTGTAACTGGCTTTCTTACAATTTGATTTTTCCATGCCAACCAGCAGCCTCGTCAAATTTCAGCTTCTCAGCCTAGAACTTTGGAATGTTTTCCATCTTTGATCATACCGAAAGTAAAAAACAAAATAAGACTACAAATCCTCTGACAAAATGCTGCTGAAAACTCTGCAATCCTGTTAAGTTCACAAAATATAATATTGTTTTCAAACTTATTGATCTTTATGCTCCCTTGTAATTTTTCGTGATTCTTCTCTTTCATTATTTTCTTTTTTCTTTCTTTTCTTCTTTCTTCTTTTTTGAATCTTGTATTTTAGGTTCTTCTGTGTCATTATGCTGTGCTGTAGGATCTCACATTGCTCTCCCTTATGTGCTTTTGTACATTACATGCTTTTGCACATACCATATATAGGGACTATGTCCAATAGATGTCAATCGTCCTATTATTTTGCATGTATTTCACATGTTGATAATTTAATATCAGACATTGAAATCCTCCCTCCATTCAATATCCAGATTTTTTTTAAATCCAACTATTCTGGATATCATCTGGTTAAACTTGGAAAATTTCAGATGGGAAAATGAAAAAGGTCAGTGATATCTAGCTGCAGACTTCCTTGTCTTGTCCTAAATTTTAGTTTTTATGTCACAACTCAATTTTTCTTGCTCCTTGGTTTTATGATTCTTACTCTTGGATCATGGCAAAGTTGACATCAGAATCATAATCTGGACCTTTCACACCACACTGAGATATACTGACAGAAGGCCTATACACTATGAATGTCCTATTTAGCATATTATGAATTTGAAATCCTAAGAGGGGCAACTTTATGAAAGGTGACAAATGGGGTAGCGGTGAGTCTGGGTCTATCACTTAGTTTGGCTTTTCACTGAAACTTTTTTTGCCATGAGGGTATTTATCATAATAGACATATGTTTTTAATGTATCAATCAGGAGGGTGTGTGGTCTTGCTTATTCTTGATTAAAAAGCCTATGTCAAATAAAAATTATTTCAAAGTTCCCATAATAATTGGAGCAATAAGATGGTAAGGGGTAATTAAAGGATGTGGCTTTCTTTCAGAAACAAGATGAATCTGGTGACCACATGTACTCTCCTTCTCTTCCTTAATGAGTGTGATGAAAGATGTCAGGGTAAGAAACTATGGCGATTGGAGATACACCAACTTCATGCTAACATGTCAGATGCAAGTCCAGATTCCCACATTGACTACGATCAAGATTTTGCACCTGGTAACACTGTTGCTAACCAGCAATGTGCACATTTCATACTGTGATGATGCCTAACCATTGTGGCATTGGTAGTGCAGATGTCGGTACCCTCCCCCCAACAAACTCCCCCACCCCCACACATCTTTTAAATGGGAAATCTAGTTGCTAGCTCTTCCCATTTTGAACTCTTGGACTACAAACCATAAATTACCCAGGTTATTGCTCATGAATTATGGCCATTTAAGGACTTTCTATTTCAGCTGGTTTGACTTGGAAAACTCAGACCACTGAGAATGGGAAATTATCCTGGGGACAAACTGTTTTTACTACACACAGGGCTGTTTTCTTCTTTGTGCAAGAATCTTGTTGAGTATATTGGCCAGCATGGAAAAAAAATTCCAATCCTTTTGGTCAGTACTGAACGATTTGACCCCAAGTCTTTGTGTCTTTTGAGAGTTGTCCAATGGGTCCATCATAGCACATTAAACATCTGCTTTTCTGTTCTATTTTATGCTTTATTGGTCAATTCCCATTAGTTTAAATAGTTCCTCTGCCTTTAATAGGACTGTCTATGTGGATTAATAGTCATGAACACAGTGATATGGTGATAAGGACCATCTTCTATTTAGAATTTGGCTAATTTCAATTGTACTTGAAAAATGTGCTCTGAGACCTACTTTAAGGGAAAAAATAAGAAAGAATGTGATAATCTACCTATTATCTTACTCACTGAGAAAATTAGATATGTAAATAAAAAAGTAACTCAAGAAAAATATGTCATGTTCTATGTGTGGTATAGGAAGTAAATGCTATGAGAACAGCAAGAGTAGGTTATAAGCAGTAAGTTTGTATTCTTCCTGAGATCTTTACAGGAAAGGTTGATGGAAAACTGCCACTGCATAAGTGGGGAAAGAATTAGGGGAACCTTAGCTTCCTCTTTAGAATAGAACACTTTGCCTCTAACCAGTTGCTTATGAGGCTACTCAACTACCATGCTTCTGGTTAATTATTCTGCTAATTGGCTAGAACACACTTTTAACTAGGTTTTAACATTTATTTAATCTAAGAAACTTTAAAAATCACCCAAGCAGTCGCTGAGACCAGCATATGCTTTTATTTGAGATGTTTCAGGATTAATTATCTGACTCATGAGAGAATAAATATGAGTATTTTTAGTGGGAATTAAGGACTGTGTTCTAAGACTTTAGATGTTGCCTCTTTCATAAATCATGCCTCATTGTACTATTTTGAGTAGAAAACATCTTGATTCTTCTCTTAGATGTGTGAAGATGAAGGACGAACGGTCATGCTGTTGGAGTGGGAAAGTAGATGTAGCTCAGACTCCAATTTTAGATCTTGGTATGAATTCACGTGTTGTTGGACGAGTTACTTAAACTCTTAAAAAAATACTTTATTTTGGGGAGCCTGGGTGGGTCAGTTGTTTAAGCCTCTGACTCTTGGTTTCAGCTCAGGTCATGATCTCAGGGTCATGGGATAGAGCCCCACCTTGGGCTCCGCTTTCCCAGGGGAGTCTACTTGTCTCTCTCCCTCCCCCTCTGCACCTCCCTCTACTCTCTTCTGTATGCATGCTCATGTGTGCGCATTCTCTCTCTCTCCTCTCAAATCAATAAATAAAGTCTTTAAAAGGATTTTATTTTATTTTTTGAAAAAGATTTTATTTATTGACTTGGGAGAGAGAGTGAGAACCCAAACTGGGGGAGGGGCAGAGGGAGAGAACTTCAAGCAGACTACACAATGAGCATGGAGCCCCTCGTGGGGGTCCATCTCAAGACCCTGAGATCATGACCTGAGCCAAAATCAAGAGTTGGCTGCTCAACCAACTGAGCCACCCAGGCACCTTGAGATACTTAAACTCCTTTTTTTTTTTTTTTAAGATTTTATTTATTTGACAGAGAGAGAGACAGAGAGGGAACACAAGCAGGGGGAGTGGGAGAGGGAGAAGCAGTCTTCCCATGGAGCAGGGAGGCTGATATGGGGCTCGATCCCAGGACCCCAGGATCACGACCTGAGCTGAAGGCAGACGCTTAATGACTGAACCACCCAGGCGCCCCAAGTTACTTAAACTCTTAAATTCAGTTTTCCCATTGGTAGAGATAATGTATTACTTTGCAGAGATTAAAATATTAATGTATATTATTGTTTGGAAAATAGGAGATGCTCCAAGAACTGTAGCTATTATTATAACAGCAACAATAACAATAATAAGTAACACAGAGTGCTCACTATGTTTTAGGTGCTGTTCTAAGACTTTTACATGTGTTATCTCATTTAATCCTTACAACAATGTTATAGGATACCCACTAACTCCATTTTATAAATAAGGCACAAAGACTTTAAAATATCTTTCCTCTGAGTTATTTGTCCCATAGTGAAGCATAGTATCAAAGACACAATGCTATACTTACTCCAAAGATTTGCTTTGGAAGCAGTGTAATGAAACATTTTAGAAAATAGCACCTATAAACAGGAATTGGAAACTCAAGAAAATTCTCAGTTCTTTCCTTTTGCTCAGTTAATCAATTTTCAATACATGCCCATTGAGAAGGCTGGTATTTTAACATTTGTGGACGTGTTTCAACCTCAGTTGCAATATTCCGTTGGTGAACTGTCTTTTTCTACAAAGTAAACTATTTGTCTTTGTAAAAACCGAACAATACTGGGAACTAATTGTTACTAAAGAATTTGTTTAGAATTTTGAGGAGAGACAAATAGGGTGACTATTGACTGGTATTACAATTTGAAAATGATTTTAGATTTTTATGCTCATTATTATACACAAATGACATTTAAACTTCTGGGCCAGTGCTCTTATCTGCTTCTTTTGTTACTTAAAAAAATATAAAATAAAACAAGACAAAACAAAGCAACCTGGTTGAGCAGTGAAATCATAAGATCATTAAGTAGTTGCATTTTGTTTGTTTGTTTTTGTTTTGTTTTCTGTTGAAAGAAGAGAATTAAAAACACATTTAAAAGTCAGGCCATTCTGCATTTGGCAAGGAGCTACTTTAATTAGATAATTATCACAGTTTCTTTCTGTTCTTCAGAATCAATTTATAGCCTGAAGCATTTAAAATTTCTTACCATAAAATTTAGATAGGTTCTATTTTTGGGAAGAGTTTGAGAAGGATTGATAATGATTCTTCTTTAAATGTTTGGTAGAATTCACCAGTGAAGTGAAGTCATCTGGTCCTGGACTTTTGTTTGCCGGGAGGTTTTTGATTACTGATTCAATCTTCTTGCTAATAATCCCTTTGCTTGGGAAAGTTAAGACAACAATTCCATTTATAATTGTATCAAAAAGAATAAAATACCCAGGAATAAATTTAACAAAGGAATAAAAGACCTATATATTGAAAACTATAAGATATTAATGAAAGAAATTGAAGAAGACACAAATAAATGGAAAGATATCCCATGCTCATGGATTGGAAGAATTAATCGTTATTAAATGTATTAAAATGTCCATACTACCCAAAGCAATCTACAGATTCAATGCAGTCCCTATCAAAACTCCAATGACATTTTTCACAGAAATAGAACAAACTATACTAAATTTGTATTGAACCATAAAAGATCCTGATAGCCAAAGCAATCTTGAGAAAGAACAAAGCTGGGGGTATCATGCTCCCTGATTTCAAAATATATTACAAATCTATAGTAATTAAGACAGTACGGTACTGGCATAAAAACAGATAAGTAGATCAATGGAACAAAATAGAGAGCCTGGAAATAAACCCATGCATATATAGTCAATTATTTTGACAAAGGAGCCAAGAATATACAATGAAGAAAAGATGGTCGCTTTAATAAATGGTGTTGGGAAAATTAGATAGCCACATGCAAACGAATGAAACTGGACCACTACCTTACATCACACACAAATGGATTAAAGACGTGAACATAGACCTGAAACCATAAAACTCTTGAAAAAAAAAAAAAAACCATAGGCAGTAAGCTACTTGACATGGGTCATGATTTGCAAATCATGTATCTGATAGGAGGCTAACATCCAGAGTATATAAAGAACTCACACAACTGAATAGCAGAAAAACAAGCAATCTAATTCAAAATGGGCAGGTCTGAATAGACATTTTTCCAAAGAAGACATACAAACAGCCAAAAGATGCTCAACATCATTAATCATATATGTATGATGGAATATTATGCAGCCATAAAGAAGAATAAAATCTTGCCATTTGTGATACTATTGTTGGAACTTGAGGGCATTATGCTAAATGAATTAAGTCAAACACAGAAAGACAAATACTGTGTGATCTCTCTTACATGTGGAATCTAAAACAAAATAAAACCAAGCTCATAAAAACAAAACAAAACAAAATATTTAAAAGACCATTCTACATTTGGCAAGGAGCTACTAATTAAAGTAAATTACCTAATTAAAGGTAATGATCACAGTTTCTTCTTGTTCTTCAGAATCAATTTACAGTCCAAAACATTTAAAATTTCTTACCATAAAATTTAGATAGGTTACTATAACTTCTACAGTTTTATAGTAACTAAGCACAAAAGTATTATGAGAAGATAACAGAAAAGGATAATGACAGCCCAAAGAAGAGATTTGTCTAAAAATCCACTGACAAGTTAGGTATACTTTCATAAAATTCATTGGTAATTGTAGTGAGTTTTTATTATTAATAATAATGTGCACATTTTTAACACCTAAGCAATTTAAAAGTCTCACTGGAAGTGAAGAGAATGAAAGGTTTGATCTAATATTTCCTGAACAGTCTGGGTAATATAACCATGGAAACTGTAATATTGTATTACAATAATGTTAATAAACTAAGTTAACAAAATAATTTGTTTCTGATATGTAGGGTACTAATGATAGTTTGTAATATTTGGTCCTTCATTTCCTTGCTTTGACAGATCAGAAGTTT